GTGCCCCCCAGATGGTGCTGGGTCGGTGGGACGAAGGTTTTATTGGGGTGGGTTTGTCCATTTCAAGGTTGGTTTGATTTTTTTGGCAGGGGGGATTTTGCCTGGGGAAGGAGATGAGCCTGGGTTGGGAGTGAGACCACCCTGGTCCCCCCACTCCAGCACAGGGAGGACGTGGAGCTGTTGAAGAGAGTCCAGAGGAGGCCACAGAGATGATCCCAGGGCTGGAGCAGCTCTGCTCTGGAGACAGGCTGGGAGAGTTGGGGTGTTCAGCCTGGAGAAGAGAAGGCTCCAGGGAGACCTTAGAGCAGCTTCCAGTGCCTGAAGGGGCTCCAGGAAAGCTGGGGAGGGGCTTGGGACAAGGGCAGGGAGGAGGAAGAAATTCTTTGCTGTGAGGGTGGTGAGAGCCTGGCCCAGGTTGCCCAGGGAAGCTGTGGCTGCCCCATCCCTGGCAGTGTTGAAGGGCAGGTTGGATGGGGCTTGGAGCAACCTGGGCTGGTGGGAGGTGTCCCTGCCCATGCAGGGGGTGGGACTGGGTGATCTTTAAGGTCCCTCCCAACCCAAACCATCCTTGCAACCCAAACTAACCTGTGACCAAATGATACCATGACCATTCCTCTCCCACTCTGGGTTGTTCCTGCAGTGGATTAAGTGAGGCCAGGGGCACACATTGTCCACCCCAGCAAGACAGACCAACAGTTAGGTATGGGGGCACAGATATGGCCAGCATGGTCCAGTGCCAGTGGCAGGATGGGGCTCTCCACCCTTCCTCCACCTCTCCTGCCTTCAGGACAGCCCTTTCCCTTCCTAACCTGGATTTTCCTAACCCTTTCACCCTGGATTTGAGCATCTTCCCCTTCCCTGGTGAATCTGAGCCCTTCTGCAAGCCCCACAGGGCAAAGCCATCCCCAGGAGCTGCAGGGAGGGGGTGGCTTCAACTTTTGGTCAGCCCTGCAGTGATCAGGCAGTTGGACTAGATGATTGTTGTGGGGCCCTTCCAACTGGAATCCTTCTCCTCTCCTTCTCCTCTCCTTCTCCTCTCCTTCTCCTCTCCTTCTCCTCTCCTTCTCCTCTCCTTCTCCTCTCCTTCTCCTCTCCTTCTCCTCTCCTTCTCCTCTCCTTCTCCTCTCCTTCTCCTCTCCTTCTCCTCTCCTTCTCCTCTCCTTCTCCTCTCCTTCTCCTCTCCTTCTCCTCTCCTCCCCTCCCCTCTCCCCCCACACCCTGTAGATCTGATGAACTTCCAGCTAACCAAGGCAATTAGTGCAAAGGGGTTTATTCCCATTAACGAGCCCTACAGGGCCTGGTGCCAGCATCAGGATGGGCAGGGAGCAACATCTCCCTCAGGTTTCCCTGGCTGCTCCACACCTCCCCCAGCACAGCAGATGCTGCTGGAGCTGGAAGCCCAGGGAGGTGAGGATGAATCCAAGCCAACCTTGGAAATGGAGGAGAAGCAGTGAGGTGTGGGAATGGCTGAGCAGCACCCAGGGGGAGGGTTGTGGGAGCAGGACTTGGCTCCTTCCTTCTCACCAACACCCATATTGGTCCTTTTTGGTCTATCCTGATGGACACAGTGGGGAGCAGATGGTTGGGCCAGGGTGTGGAGATGTCAGGGCACAGCTCTGCCACGTCCCCAGGGTGGGCAACGTTGGCCACTTGCTTTTAGCTGAAATACCTGCTCAGCAGTGATGGGCTCATTGCAAAACCCGTGGTGCCACTTTGCTCCCAGCCCCAGAGGTGACCTGAGGAGCCACCATGGCTGGATCACAGATGGTTTGGGTTGGAAGGGATCCTTAAAAGTCATCCAGTCCAACCCCCTGCAGTGAGCAGGGGCATCTCCAGATGGATCAGGTTGCTCAGAGTCCCATCCAACATGACCTGGAATTTTTCCAGGGATGGGGCATCTCTCTGGGCAACCTGGGCCAACGTTTCACCACCCTCAGCACACAGGGATTCTTCCTAATACCTCAGCAGGGAGATCCCCCTGATTCCACTGGAAACAGGATCCAGCCACAACCAGGATGAGAACCCACCTCCCCAGGGCCCAACGACGTGCACAAGAACATCATCTCCAAAGGCTTGAAACAAATGGAAAACTTTATTTTCCAACGAGTACACAGACCAGGTGGGATGGGGATGCTCTTACATAACAACACCGACCTTTCCCTTCCAACCACCCCCTCCCCAAAATTTGATACCACACTGGAAATACAGCACTGGGATGGAGATGACTGGTAATTTTTTTATTTTTGAGGAGGGGGAGGTTGGGGGGAAATGGTCTTGGCAGGTGATTCCTACTTGGCTAACACAGGCAGATCTGTGTAAATATCAATACTGGGGTGAAACACCTGGCAGCACAGCAATGTCAACACCACTACCAACAGAAAATCAAGACCAGCAACATAAAACACCTTCCATGAATAGTTTAGGTTAAGTTGGATATTCCCCTCCCCACCCCCTGATCCCCCCCTTTACTCTTCATGCAGTTCCCACCCCCCCCTCTCCCTTCCCCTCTTTGTTTATTGATTAAGAATCCAAGTTGTTAAAGAAGCGAGTCGTTTAAAAAAATTCTTACAAACCACTTGGTGACAGGGGTTGGGAAGGGTTGGGGTGTGAGCCCCGGGTCAGACCGGCTGTGTTTTGCTCTCCTTGACTGTAAATCAGTGTTAAAAAAGGACAAACCCACTGGGAGGGTGGGGAGCAGAGGGGTGGGATTTACACGTCTGCCTTGGGACAGCAAGAGTGACCTTGGCTGAGCAAACGACTTCATCCGTCCTTCGACCTAAAGCTACATGAGCTGGAATCAAAAGATGGACACAGGGAGGTTTAAAGTTGGGGTGGGCTGGGACCATCTTGGCTATTCGTGTCGTATAAACGTTCCCAGGTGGCAAAAAAAGTTTGGGAGTCCAGTGTGAGAACCACTGGTCTTCTTTGTAGAAGACTAGAAAAAGAGTATGAAAAGGTAGAAAAACCAAAATGCACTTGTTAGGGGCTGGAAAGATTCACCGGGAGGTTCCCAAAGACTCTTGAATCCACAGGGATTTTGAAGCTGACACCTGATTCAGAACTAGTTTAGTGGGGTCACTGCTGACACCCAAGCCCCTGCCTGACCTGATTTTGCATGCAGATCCCCAGGTTATGATTCCCAAAGTTTCCCAGGAGCACGGATGAGCAGGGAAAGCCAGGAGGTGTTCAGCGATGGGAAGGAGAGCCAAGCCACGGCCACCAGAATATGAACCCAAAGAGGAACCCCAAAAAAGGTGGCTTGTCTCCCCAGGGATGCTGACAGCAGGTGAGCTGGACCCAGGAATAATTCCCCAGCCTGACAAGGTGCTCAGGCTGCATGTAAACAGGTATCAGGCACCTCTGGGAAGGGGTGACCCCATGGCTTCCCACGCTGCTCCCCTGCTCCTACCCAGCATGGCTGGGGGGAA